TTATAATAATTATATAATTATTATTATAATTATTATAATAATAAACAATGTTCACCATCCTATAATGTATGTACACCAACGTAAGTTGAACAGTGTACATCTCAGTGGTGATTTGGTACTAGTTAAGGAGCCGGTGCTTTTATATACAGGTATATCCCATCTAGAACGTGTCTACTCTGGGTGGGTATACTGTACTTCATTGTGCATCAGTTCACACAATTGCTGCGTGATAAGGAACACGAGTGTTGACTCCTTAGCAATCCAACAGTTCACAGCTGAGATTTATAAAACGTGACTCACCCTGGTGAGCATGAATCATAGGATTCTGGCCGTTGAATTAGTTTGTAAATACAGTAGTCCCTTCATAGTGAATGACAAAGCACAGCAATAGTACATTCATAAATAGTCATTTCCAAAGAGGTAGCTGTGTTAGTCTGTTTCACAAGTATAATGAAACAAAGCAAAAATGAATGCCTTTTCGCGCCTTGAAAGCTAACCAGTCAATATCAATGTGAGCTTTTATATTCTAGGATAACAGTGGATTGAAGTCACAAAATAAATCAGTCTTCACAGAGTTACAATTCTTCTGTTTTGATTTTGTTTTTAGTAAACAGTAAGTTGGTAATAACAATTGCGGCTATACTTTGACTTCGGTAGTCATTTGTTTTTAAAAGCACCTTTCTGTGGCTAAAGTGTTGTACAGTTAAACAGATTGTCAGAAGGGTCTTTACAAGCCAATTTAGAAAGAAAAAAACCAGTTTTAAAAACCACAAGCCATATGGAACAGGAGAGACCTGGCTGGCTGCCGGAAACTCAGCAAGAATGGGGCTCACTTACTTATTTCCAAATAATAGTAAATAGTAGGCTATTAATGAATACAATTTTAAAAAGAAAAGTAATAAAAAGTATTAAATAATAATAAAAGTAGTAATGGTAGTTACAGTAATAAAACACTAATAAATCACGGGCCGCAGTAAATTCTTACAAGTACTAATAGCAGCAAATTAGGAATGGTCTTGAAAACGCGGCAGAGAACTGTATTAAATAAATTGTTACTGTTTATCATCAAGTTGGAACTGACTTACAGTGACCCTAATAGGGCTTTCAAGGTAAGCTGAGGTATTTAAGGAGTGGCTTTACCAGTTCCACAGACACTCCGCTTATCATAAATAAAAAAATAAATCCTTATAAAATATAAATATTCAGATAATTAAATCCGAACATGATGGCTTGCTTATTGGTACGAGGGGTCTGTATCCCTTTCCAGCCACGTCTTTGGCCACCTCTCTGAGAAACAGTGAAAAGCTGTTTTATACAGTATATTAATATCCACAGCATTCCTCCTTAAAATGCTGTAGATATTAATATATAAAACAGCTTTTCGCCGCAGTTTTGTATATCGCCAAAAGACATTGGCAGAATTCTAGTTGCAGCCCAGTCAACTCCCCTTCTTGGATGCAGAACTCATTGCTCGTGCATTTCTGAGACAAAAGTCTAATGGTTGTCAACGTTTTGCATCAGCTCATTAAAGTGTGGCCAAGGCAGTTACCTAATCAACACTTTGACATTTCGTTATCAGTACAGTGGACACTTGACTTACAGACGGCTTGACTTACAGACTTTTTGAGTTACAGACTTCTTTGGCCGCAAAATTTAGGTTAAAGTGTGGCCAGTTACCTAATCAACACTTTGACAGTTCGTTATCAGTAGAAATGACTCAGTTGTGATCCTCTGTATCCTGTTTCCTTCAGTCCACACAGCCTCAAGCAGCTACCCTGTGTATATAGATCGGGGACCTCAATATGTTCGTTATCAGTAGAAATGACTCAGTTGTGATCCTCTGTATCCTGTTTCCTTCAGTCCACACAGCCTCAAGCAGCTACCCTGTGTATATAGATCGGGGACCTCAATATTGTGTAGTCCGTGTGTCTCCAGAAGTGGGTTGCAATCCATAAAAATACACATGGAAAGCAATCTATGAGATCTGGGACAAATTGCCCCAAGGAGGTTCAATGCACAGTAGGTCAATGGAGACTTGACTTACAGACTTTTTGACTTGAGAACCGCCTTCCAATACGGATTAAGTTCTCAAGTCAAGACCCCACTGTAGAAATGACTCGGTTGTGACCCTCTGTATCCTGTTCCCTTCAGTCCACACAGCCGCGAGCAGCTACTCTGTGTATATAGATCGGGGACCTCAATATTGTGTAGTCCGTGTGTCTCCAGAAGTGGGTTGCAATCCATAAAAATACACATGGAAAGCAATCTATGAGATCTGGGACAAATTGCCCCAAGGAGGTAAAATATTCTTTCAGTGGCTTTTGTGCATTGCTTTGGGTGTCAAATTTGTGCCTGTTTAATTGTGTTGTGTAGAGACCACCTTTTTGAGTTAGGTTGTCTGAGGTTGGGAGTTAAATTCCCTGCTCTGCATCCCAGAAGAGCCGGCCCGGGTGGCCTTGGGCAAGCTGCACAGTCCCAGGGCATCCCCAGAGGAAGGGAGTGGTGAATCAGGACCTAGAAAACCCTGGGAAGGGCCACCAGAAGTCAGAGGTGGCTAGTGAGCTCAGGGGTGTAGGTTCTCTGGCTGTGGAGCCAGAGGTTGGGAGTTTGAATTGTTCCTGCTTAATCTGGCGTTCTAATTAGCATGGGCCCTGTGTAGATAAACTTGGAGCCTATAGATTGCACTCCCATACGTCTGAAGAAGCGGACCATCATCTGTGAGTACTCACACCAAAATACATCTGTGGGTCTTAAAGACTCTTGGGAGGGATGTTTTTGGGCTGGAGTGATTGTCTGTCCTTCACTAACTGATTGTTTCTTCCAGCCTTTGATTTCAAAGAGAAAGCCTGCCTCTCTGCTGAGTGTCTCTTTCCCTCTCCGCTGAGTGTCTCTTTTCCTCTCTTTCTTATGTTCATTTGGCAGTTGTTTGTTTGCTGTCGATCTATTCAGTTCCTACTGATTTGAAGCCAAGATCTGCTGGGTCTTAAAGACATCGAAAGACTTTTCTGTTTTCTTGTGTTGGCTTTTGTTTTCATTGTACTGTACTGTATGCCATGCGAAAAGCTGCTCACAAAGATTCAGATGGAGAAGTGTGGAAGAGATGGCGAGAGAAGAGAGGGGTTTTGCTTGATTTTAAGTCCTGCTTTTTGTGAGATAGTTAACCAAGGTCATCTCACACCGATGCTGTCATAATGGCTGCTTCAGCCCAGCTCAAGGGTAGAATCCATTTTTATCAGTCAACACCACAACTTACTTTGGTTTGTCCCATGTCACCTAATCCTGCTTTTGGACTAACCAGGTAAATGAGCTTCTTGAGACTGATTGTGTAATTGAGAAGAAAAAAAAATTCTACTCTTTATCCCACTGAAGCCAGCTCAGGAAGTATAATATCCAGTAAGACCTCCTGTATCTGCGAAATCAGTATCCACTGATTTACTTAGCCGTGGCCTGAAAATATTAAAAATATGAAAAGAAAAATTCTTAGAAATATATATTTCTAAAGGGGAACTGACCAGAACTAGAGGGAGGCAGGAGACCAGCCTATCTGTACAGTGTTCAGTGCTCTTAAAATAGCGTTTGCTATAATCCATGTGTTTCAGCATCCGCGGGAGTCTTGCAGTGGATCCACCGTAGATATGGGGGTTCCTAATGTTCATAGAGTCAAGTCAGTTTCTTCTCTGTCACAAAGCTGGACCTCGTCGAGAGTCTGTCTCAAAAGTTTTTCAGCTCTTGGGGGAAGTTGGAGGTGCCAGGCCGGTCATTTAGAGATCTGAAAAGTAACTTTTTTAAAGACTCTAGCCAGCGGTGTAGTGGTACATTAGAAGCACAGGTGCTTACTGTGACAGTCCCCATAGCCAACCACTCTGCCCCACCCCCACCCCGAAGTCAGAAATATAGGCAGACGGGTCAGAGGATCTGACAGATCCTATCCACAAATGAGGGGCAGGGTTTTTGTAAAGCGAATGGCTCTTAATTGCCCATTTGGGAGCAAACCACTCTTTGTTATTGTGCGCTGCCACAAAAATAAGCCAACAGTCTTGCAACCCTATTTTTGTTTTTATGCACGATTCTGTCGCTGGAAAAATCTGTCCTGGTTTACCGTGAGCTAAGAACAGAAGGAAGAGAGAATCGTGAGGACATTGGTCAGGTGACACCATGGCTCCTCATAGTTGAAACGTTCGGGGTGCTTTGGTCAAGTTCTTGGCTCAGCTGCTTTGGTCAGGTGACACCATGGCTTCTCATAGTTGAAAAGTTCGGGATGCTTTGGTCAAGTTCTTGGCTCAGCTGCTGCCCCCCTGACGGAGATTCTCCCCAGTCAGAAGTATGTGCTTCCCATCCATGGGCGAATTCTGTTTCTCTTTTGCGCCAAGCTCTGGTGGAACCTGTGGCTGCTGATAAAAGAGACAGTAGGCCCAGAAGCCCTTGTGGTTTGCCTTTTTCTTGCTTTATTCTTTTCATAGAATCCTAGAATCATGGGGTTGGAAGGGAGGGTCCCTCGGAGGCCATCCAGTCCAGCCCCCTTAGTGCAGGAATCCAAATCGAAGCCGATCCGATAGACTGAAGTCCATTTTTCTCTTGAAGGCCTCCCGAGGTCATGGGTCCCGTCGTCGTACCACTCTAAAAGTTAAGAATTTTTTCCTGATATTCAGCCCAAATCTGGCTTCCTTGAACACATTATTGTGTATTCTTCACTCTGGGAGGATGGAGGACAGATCTTGCCCCTCCTCTGTAGGACCACCTTCTCGAGGCTTTGAAAAAGCGCTCCCCTGTCTCCCCTCCGCCTCCTTCTCTGTAGGCTTAGCCTGCCCAGTTCTTTCCAGTCTTTCCTCCAAGGGCTTGGGTTTCTGATCCCACCTGGTTGACCCTCCTTCGAACTTGCTCGAGTTAGTCCCACCTCCTTCTTCATGTGGGGTGTTCAGAACAGCACAAACAATCTTTTAAAAAGGGAATACATTTATTTACAGAACAGATTCCTTTTCGCCAAAGCACTGGACTTTTTGTTTGTTTGTTTTTCTCTTCATTGTCCAAAAAGGACATTTTGAAGTGGCTGAAAGCAGTTCCTTCCTTCTCCCTGTTTTGCTTTGGGGGCCACTCGAAGGGTAGACGAACGAGCAGATCTCCCTGTTTTGCAATCCGTGGGCATCTCCAAAGAATTGCTCAAGGCTCTCTTTTGTGCTTTTTCTGGGGCTTCTGCCAAGCAGGCGATGCTTCTCCTCTCTACTTTTTCTCCCTGGCTACAGAAACACAAAAGAATGCCGTTGCCAAGTCAGAAAACATTAACATGTTTTCACCACCACCGCCATTATTTCCGTGCGGTGCTCTGTGACCCCTTACTACGCGTTCCTCTAACTACAAAATAATGCTGAGGCATTACTCACTTGCCACCACTTCTCTTTGTAAATACTCATTACCTTGTTTTTATATTATTTTTTTTCTCTGGAGGAAGGGAAGAGATCTTCATTTTTGAAAAGCAGAGTGGAAAAACAACCTTCCCACCAGGCAGGCAGCTCTGTTCTTTTGTGTGTGTGTGCGTGTGTGTGTGTGAAGTTTTGCAAAGAACGGTGGAAAGACTGGGATAAAGTTAGGCTGGAGAAAATAAGATGATTGTGGGGGTCTTCAAATACCGGAAGGGCTTCCATGCAGAAGATGTGGCATATTTGGGCTCTGTGGCTTCAGCATCCGTAGGGGTGGGTGGGTTTGGAAACATACCCCCGCAGATATTGGGGGGGGGCTTCTACTCTGTCTTGCTTTTAAATCACCGGGAAGTAAAGAGTTCTTCTTTTAAAGCATGGTAGCTCTAATGAGAACTAATTATGAAGAACTCTGGACATGATAAGAGTTATCATGACTGCCCCTTTGAGGCCCGGCGAGGATAGACAGCTGCTTCCCCCCGGCCTGGATGAGTATCCCGAGGAAGGAGCATGTTAGGTTCTGTTGGAAGCTACTTAACGAACTTACTAATTGGGACGGGCCAAGTGTGGTCTTGCAGGGCTTTTTTCCCCTCCAGCTCCCAGTACTGTAGGTATCACTGTCAGCTTTGGGGTCGAGGGGCTGATGGTGGTGGGTGGCCACCCACTAACACCTGGCAGGCTGCTCTTTGCTGAGCTTCTAGATTAGAGGGACCTGTGTTTCGATCCAGGAGGACTCTGTTCATATCATCAGGAGAGGCCTTCTCTCGGTTTCGCCACCCTCCCAAATGCATTTGTTGGGGACAGGACAGGGGCCTTCTTAGTGCCTGTTCTCAGATCCTGGAACTCCCTGCCACTGGAGGCCAGAATGGCTCCTCCTTTGCTGTCCTTCCACAAGCAGGCAGAGACCTGTCTCTTCTGTCCAGCTCTCCCTGTGTGACTGGCGGCCTGCGTGGTTTTTTTTTTAATGCCTTACTTCTTTGAATGTGTTTTCAGTATTGCCTGTGTTTACCGTTTCTCAGAATCTAGTATTTGCATACTTATTGTTTTAAGCTATGTTTTAACGATGTAAGCCACCTTTGTAAACTCACCATTTTTAGCTTTTAAAATGGTCTATTAACGATTCACGCTTCCTTGGGTCTCTTTTTAAGGAGCAAGGTGGGGTAAAAAGATTTTGGATAAATATATGAAATAGACTCTGCTTAGGTTCCCGTGACCCCTTATGGCCGGTTACATCTGAGCGGCTCAAAAACTAATATTCTCCTCATTTTTCTCCCTCCCTCCACCTCCCTCCCCCCGCTTCTCTCCCTTCTAGCATGGCAGACAAGAACAGCATCTTGAAATGCACTTTCTCTGCGCCAAGTCACAGCGCCACGCTTCTGCACGGCCTGGCATCTCTCCGGGCGCAGGCCCAGCTGCTTGACGTCATCCTCACCATCAACAACGAGGTGTTTCAGGTCCACAAAGTTGTCTTGGCTGCATGCAGTGATTACTTCAGGTGAGTGAGAGCCCTCGGTCCCGCTACAGCCCCCAAGATGCTGCACAAAACATCATGGAGGTTGGTGCCGGGAACGAGATGAAAAAGTGTTCCAACTTAGAAAGGGCCACAGTGGCGCAGATCCGCCCCAGCTTTCCCGCAGAACGTTCTAGGTTCTGTTCTCGATCTCTTCAGAGGGGGCTGGAGAGGATCCTTGCCCAGAAGTTGGTTCATAATTCAACTTTTGATCTATAGCATTCATGAGAAGGATCTTGGGATTGTTGTATATCAAAATGTGCGATTTTAGGAGGCATTAACGGAAGAAGTCTCATCTCCATATCCCACCAGGTGGTATAGATCCCCTCCGTTCAGCAGTGGTGAGGCCCCACCTTGAGTCCTGTGTCTCGTTCTCAATGCTACACTTTAAGAAGGATGCCAACAAACTGGAGCCAGGACAGAGGAGGGCAACTGGGAGGATCAGGGGACTGGAAACCAAGCCCTAAAAGGAGGAAAAAACAGGAAGAACTGGGCCCGTTTTGGGTTTGGTTTGGTCAGGAGATGGGGGGGAAAAGCATACTGAAAAGGTGCCCTTCTCTTTTAAAACAAGACGCTCAGCCTCTGTATAACTTTGCTTTTTGATGGGTGAGGATGAGGGTTTCACTGTTTTTAAAACCAAAATTACTGGTAACCTTCCATCCCTTTCGGGCTTATCTTGGAAACGGCCCTGTAGCCGGCGAAGTTGTACGCTCTGATTTACAAATAACATCACTCAAATGAAAAAGAACCACTCCTTTGTATTCGAGCATCCTGAAACATCCAGGTTTATAAAAACCATTAAAAAAACCCATCAGTGAGAGTGCTGTGGGTGCATCGCGAGGGCAGGGCCATCCTGTAAGGATGATTTCCCGTAAATGTGTTAAATCTACTTTTTAAAAGCCATCTAAGCTTCTCTTGGCAACCCGTGAAAAAGAGTGCTTCTTTCTCTGCACAGTAAAGTGCTAAAAACTTGCGGTCTTAGGGTTAAGTCCTGGCCCAAATACCTGCATTTCTACTCTTGAGATTAAGTGTCCTGTAATTCAATCGCCTCAATACACCCAGCCTGGCTTGTGGGCTTAGGTGGGTGGTGGATCTATTCAGGGCAGGATAGCTTGGGGGGTGGATGGGTGGGTTTGAGGCCCTTCTCATGTCTCTGGTGGAAAGTCCCTGGGTCCCCAAATGGAGCCTGGAAGCTCCTCACGTTCCCCCCTCCTCCGGGAAAGAGGAAGGAAGCATCCTCTGTGCCTTTTTCTCCACCGTTTCGCAACTTGCTGGTGTGAACGGCAGCGTTGTTCCAGGCCCATCTTTTGAGAGATTTCTGTTTGTGTATATACTTCTCCCCCCTCCCCGTGTTTGTTTCCTTAGTAACATCTAGCTCCAGAGGTTTTATGGCTCTCTCTAACAGCCTGGTGATTAACAGAGGAGGAGGAGGAGGAGGAGGAGGATCTTCCACCAGATGCTAATGGCTCTGTGTGATGGGGCCCCACCTCACACTTAGACTCTGCCTTCGTGTGACGGCCGAGCTGTAATTGCTTCCAGAGTTTCTCCTGCGACGTAGTGTGTTTCATCTCGTTCCCAGCACCAACTCGATTCGGGTTCATTTTTTTAAAAAAATTATTTCCCGCCAAGGGCAGAGGTCGAAGGAGTGGGGGAGACCATCTGGATTCGGTGCTCCCTGTTAGAGAGACAGGATAATTGGACCACACTCCGGCTGGCCTTCCGTTCCTGGCTGATGGGAAGCATTGCCCTCTTCCCCTCTCCCCCCCACAATGAAGCCGCTTAAGAGCTTCTGACTGTAACGCTCCCATTTGGGCCTTTTCAACAAACAGCCCCATGTAGGGGCTTAGCTGCTCAGTGGGCTACAGGGAGTGAACACAGTGTGGAGACCTCCCCTTGTGAAAGTGACCTAAATCTGGATAAATGCTTAAACAAAAGAAGGATTCCACTTCTTCTTTATTTCCCTCCCCCTCCCAGGCCATTTTGCTGTTTTGGTCTTTTTATTTCAACAGACAAAGGCATGGGGCAGTCTCTATTCCCTGTATTGTCTGTTGTCATTGGGTGGCAACTGTCCAAGGTTGCTTACAAGCGGTGTTTATAAAGACACATTTCCCCACCTGTAGCTATGGAGGTGTGTGCATAGATCTTGAAAGAATAGCTACTCTGTCCAGTCATGAGGTCACGAATTATTTCCGTGAAACAATAGGGCAGGTTTTTGGGTTTTTTTAACTGCTAAAAAATAATCCTAGCATGGAAACTTTCCCCTCCACCTTCTAGCCAGCAGGGGCGAAGACGCAGCCCCCCCCAGGCTTCTTAAGTGGGCCGCATGCGGTCAGAACCATGGACAGAGCAGGGCGGAACGGCATAGCTTAGGCCAGGAGGTGATTGACTTCTACCCTGCTGGCTCCACTTTTGCTTTCCTCCCCAACCCCCCCCCCAAGCCACCCGTTTAGAAAAGCCCAGCCTGTACCCGCAACAACCCAACCCAAAATAACTTGTAAGAATCACCATAACAAATCAGCCCTAAGAATAGTAGGTTGTTAACCTTAAAGAGAAACCAATTAAAAGTTACACTGGGTGGGTCGGGAAATCTCTCACATGATGAGGATGGTTCTTAATGCTTCCATGGATCGCTTCATTTTAACCTTCTTCCTGAATGACAGAAGAGAGGGAGCATTACACGAGCCTTATAAGTGAAATTTAGCCCTTGGAAGCTGGCACGGAAGTAGAGAGGGAGCCGATGTAGGCTTGCTGGAATCAGAGAGCTATGGTGTGATTATATCTTGTTCTTTAAGGCAACTCCTGGTTGGTTTTTCCTGCCCCACACGCTGAACACAGAACCCTGACGCAAACGGAAACGGCCTTTTCAAGGGCCTCGGAAAGGTGCCTCTGAACTATCTTTGGCGTTTTTTTTAGGGCCATGTTCACCGGCGGGATGAGAGAAGCCAGCCAAGATGTGATTGAGCTGAAAGGGGTCTCCTCCAAGGGCCTGAAGCACATCATAGAGTTTGCCTACACCGCTGAGGTGACTCTGGACCTGGACTGCATTCAGGATGTGCTGGGGGCCGCCGTCTTCCTGCAGATGGTGCCGGTGGTGGAGCTGTGTGAGGAGTTTCTGAAGTCCGCCATGAGCGTCGAGACTTGCCTCAACATCGGGCAGATGGCCACCACCTTCAGCCTAGCCTCCCTGAAGGAGTCGGTGGATTCCTTCACCTTCCGACATTTCCTCCAAATTTCTGAGGAAGAAGACTTCCTCCACCTGCCGTTGGAGCGACTGGTCTTCTTCCTCCAGAGCAACAAGCTCAAGAGCTGCGGCGAGATCGACCTCTTCCGGGCCGCCATCCGCTGGTTGCAGTATGACCCCGCGCGGCGCCGGAACGCCAGCCAGGTCCTCTGCCACATCCGCTTCCCGCTCATGAAGTCCTCCGAGCTGGTGGACAACGTCCAGACCTTGGACATCATGGTGGAGGACGTCCTCTGCCGGCAGTACCTCCTGGAGGCCTTCAACTACCAGATCCTGCCTTTCCGGCAGCATGAGATGCAGTCTCCCCGGACCGCCATCCGCTCGGACGTCTTCTCCCTCGTCACGTTCGGCGGCACCCCCTACACTGATAACGACCGGACCGTGAGCGGCAAGGTCTACTACCTGCCAGACGGCCACACGCGGCAGTTCAAGGAGCTGACGGAGATGGAGGTGGGGAGCAGCCACACCTGCGTGGCCGCCTTGGACAATTTCGTGTACGTGGTGGGGGGCCAGCACCTACAGTACCGCAGCGGCGAGGGGGCGGTGGACCTCTGCTACCGCTATGACCCCCACCTGAACCAGTGGCTGCGCATCCAGCCCATGCAGGAGAGCCGGATCCAGTTCCAGCTGAATGTTCTTCACGGCCTGGTTTATGCCACCGGGGGCAGGAACCGGTCAGGCAGCTTGGCCTCGGTGGAGAGGTACTGCCCCAAGACCAACGAGTGGGGCTACGTCTGCTCCCTCAAACGCAGGACGTGGGGTCATGCCGGGGCCACCTTGGGCGGCAAGCTGTACATCTCGGGGGGCTACGGGATCTCGGTGGAGGACAAAAAGGCCTTGCATTGCTACGATCCTGCCCTGGACCAGTGGGAGTTCAAAGCCCCCATGAACGAACCGCGGGTCCTCCACGCCATGGTGAGCGCCAACAACCGGATCTACGCCCTCGGAGGCCGCATGGACCACGTGGACCGCTGCTTTGACGTGTTGGCCGTTGAGTATTACGTGCCAGAAGCCAACCAGTGGACCACCGTCAGCCCCATGCGGGCGGGACAGTCCGAGGCCGGTTGTTGCTTGTTGGAGAAGAAGATTTACATTGTGGGGGGTTACAACTGGCACCTGAACAATGTCACCAGCATCGTGCAGGTGTATAACACGGAGACGGATGAGTGGGAGAGGGATCTTCATTTCCCAGAATCCTTTGCGGGCATCGCTTGCGTGGCGGTCATTCTCCCACAGAGCACAGCCCGGAGGTGACCACGGGCGAGAGGCCTCTGATCTTCTCAACCTCTGCACCTTCTTGTCTACCCTGCCCTGAAAATTAAAGCCCCCATGTCCAGGGTAGGCGAAAGATCTCGTTGAGCTACCTTTCGGTCATCTTTATTTCTTAACAATGGGGTGCTCCATCCCTCCATTGGGGGTGGGAGAGGAGCCAGAGAATATTATAAGGAGGTTTGAACCCGAGGATGGGGATTTCTCCCGAGAAGGAAGGGGTGGTGCTCCCTAACAGAATCTGTTCCCAAACGTTCATGCGTCCTGCAGATGTTAAGTAATTGCTTTCCCCCCTCATTTCATCCCCCATCTTACATTCGCAACCCTCAGAGGATTTTGACTGCACCCCAAAGCGTTGTTAACATGTGATTTCGTGGCAACTGGGCTGTTAAAGAAAATGGGAACAAAATCGGGAAAAGTAAAAAATGTCTCAAACTTCCCAAAAGCAATAAGAGGAATTATTGCGGGGGGTGGGGTGGGCGGACGGGGGATCGACTCTAAGGAGATGAACTATGTATGATCTCATGCAGGCATGTGTTCACGTTTCCTGGAAAAAAGCACAGTTTAAATGCATGTGTACTGCACACCTGTTTGCTTTCTCTGTTTTTGTCTTCGAAAACTGCAAACCGTCTCTGCCTGTCTGAACGTTCAGGAAGATCCTGGCCATTTTCCTCTTTCCCTCCAGAAAATCCAACAGTGCCTTTGACTCTGAACTGGGGGAGCAAACTGGGACCCATTTTCTCATTTTAAAAGTGTTGCTGTTCGTTCAGTGTTCACGAGAATGGAATTATACTGTTTAAAATTTGTTTTGTTTTGATGAATGGTTCTTATACACAGCTGACATCAAGTTCCAGCTTGGCGACACCAACTCTAAATAACAGCACAATCTTGTGCGTTACGGCTTTGCAGGTACTTGTCTCTCTTTGGTGAACATGTAGGGGAAGTTTATGAGACATTTATGGGAAGGACTCTTATCTGCTGTGTCTTGTCTAACCAAAACCCACCTCATCTTGTGGAAGTAGCATGGAGCCCTTTATTTATTTAAAATATTTCTGTCCTGCCTTTCTCCCGAAAGGAACCCAAGGTGGCTTACATCGTTAAAGCAGTATTTAAACCCTAATAACAGTAAGTATACAAATACCGAAAAAGAATTAAACAAGTTTTATATTAAAATGGTCACTAAGATCAATATTAAAACACATTTTAAAGCAACAGAGCACAGCGATGCATTCAAAACCCCTCTTAGACCACCAGTCGTTAACAAAAAGCCTGCCTGAAGAGGATGGTCTATTCAGCAGGAAATGGGAGGAACTGCCTTCCTGTAGTGGCTAGAATAAAAGATCACTTGAAATAATGGTGGATTTTGGGTTGTTTTAGAGCCAGCGTTCCTAAGAGGCCCAAACCCAAACATTACGTTAGATATACCTAATGTAAGCGTTAATGGGGAGAAGCAACAGTACCGGGGGGAAAAGTATCACTTTTGCCCAATGTAAATGAAAATTTTTAATTAATCCTGAAAATCAATTTATTTCCCTGTTATCACGGTTACTTCTGCCACATTTCTGCCAAGCTCAGCCTGAGAATGTTAATAAAATAGGACTCCCATCTCTGTGGACAACTGGTTCCAAGCCCCCGCAGATGCTGAAAATCGTGGATAATAGCAAATGCTAGACAACGCACGGTAAAAATCCAGAAATATATATTTTCACCATGTATTTACCAGAACTGGCCACTACAGTTATATAATACTGTATATTCTTCGGCAACTGCTCGATAGCTCTGGGGTTGAGGTCTCTGGCTGTGTTATATAATACTGTATATTCTTTGGCAACTGCTCAATAGCTCTGGGGTTGAGGTCTCTGGCTGTGGAGCCAGAAGTTGGGAGTTTGATTCTCCCCCCCCCCGGCCTCCTTGAGAGGGGATGGACTGGATGATCTGGGTCCCTTCAGCCCTGCAGTTCTAAGGTGGTGGAGGTGAAGAATACATAGCTTGGTCTCTGGCTCCCACTAGTGGCCAGTTCTGGTAAATACATTGTGAAAATTCATATTTCTAGGGTTTTTTCCCCCCTTTTAATGTTTTCAGACCATGGATAAGCAGAACCATAGCTATTGATTCTGCAGATACAGGGTCCTATTGTATTATAAAGTGGGGTTACTGTGGTTGTAGTATTTCCTCTTGTTCTAGTATGCCCATTTCTCTGCTGGCTGAAAGTGGCCCCACTGGGTTAAAGCTCGTACACACTTTCTCCTTAATCCATGTTTAGTCGGTCATCTCGGCTTGACTGATCCACTAAAAAAGGAGATCATCCCCTTGTATTAAATGTGTAAAACTGGTGAATCGTGGTGTGTTTTTTTTCCAGAGCAAGCTGGAATGCATGCTTGGCCACTCATTTCTGACTCTCTTAATTCCCGGATGTGAAATTAAAGCAAAAATGGCTTGAGGGTAATCTGATGTGTCAATATTCTGAATTATTGTAATGTACTCCATGCCTTCTGATTTCTCAGAAGAAGGTGACTGAGGGGATGCACTAGGATATGTTAATATACAATGAAGCACGGTTACAGTGGACATAAAAATGCACTCTTTTTACCTGTACGTGATGCTTTTGCCATAATTTTATTATGCATGTGTAGACCAGTGGTTCCTGACCTTTGGGTCACCCAAATGTCCTTCGGAGTGCAACACAGCTGGTGGCAAAGGCTTCTGGGAATCCGGCTTCCTGTCACTCGAGCCCATTCCGCAATCTGGGATGATGGAGAACAGATTATGTGTGGCTTGTGAACTCTCAAGAGAGGAGAAGGACCGGAGGCCCAGGGGCCATGAAAATACGGGCCTGAATCAACCTGGTGTTCAGGTAAGGTTTGCATATTGATGAGATGCCTCCCGCTGGCTGTGTGTGACCGAGACACATCCCTGTAGCTCATCAATTAACTGCAACTAGGTGCCAAAGGCTACCTTTACTTGTTTTCTGTTTGCAAAGGGCAGTGTCGGAGTTGGCCACTAGGTGGAACCAAAGGTCACTGCCTCTGTTTCCAAGCCCTGTTTAAAGTCGTTAACTCTGGCTGCCCTCTAATGGTAACAGGGAAAAATAATAGTCTGCCATGGATTTTTGTGTTTTTAGATTTTTTAGAATTTAAATTTTAAAAAAATTATTATTATTACTCCTACTCCTACTCCTCTGGATTTTGCCTGGGCCGCTTTTAAAAAGGAGCGTTTCAACTTCCGTTCTTTAATAACGTTTTTAAGGATTAAGTATAATTGACAGGATTAGAGAGAGAAAGAGAGAGAGAGAGAAGTACAGCGCATGCGTGCGCAGCCACGGGCCTACCTACTGAAGGAGGCAACGCATGCGGAATAAGTCGTGTAAGCTTCGGCAAGAACTACTACTCCAGGTCCTGGGGGCTCAGGCGCGTGCGCCCGTGGTGCCGTTTCCAGCACTTGCGCACGGGCTCCTTGCCTTCCCTCAAGTCAGCTCGCGCCTCCGCTAGCATGGAGCATGCGTCCTACGCCGCCGCCTATCTTCTGTCCCCCTCCCTCCTCTCGGTTTGTTTTTTTTTCCCCTCGTAATTTTAACCCACTGCTGTCTTCGCCCGTGCGTAGTGGGCGCCACGCTCCCCTGGCTTTGGTTCGGTCCCTGGGACGTTTTGCCATTGCGCCTGCGCCGTGGTGCCCGCGTCTCCACTGGCACGGAGCATGCGTCCTGGGCCGCCGCTCTTCTTCATTTCCCCCGCTCCTCTCTTAAGTGTTTCTTTGTTTCCCGCCCACTCCTTCCCTCGCGCGTGCGCCGTGAGGGAGCGCCGCGCGCGCCTGCCTGGCTTGTTTTGGAGCCTCGGTGGGGAGGCTGCGCGTGCGCGTTCTCGC